AACTTTCTCTCTATATAATTTGATAGTAAAAATAATATGTATCTTTTTCTAAGGGGTACCCGAGCTGGTGACACCTTTTTTCTATATTCTACTTTCGCCATTACTTTTAGTATGTTCTAGGTAATATAGAAATAATTCTATACCTGTTTCTTCAGGAGATAATTGTCGACCGATTAAACTTTCAATAGCCAATTTATCTCCATTGAGTAAATTCGATCGTTGTAAATTACTTAGTTGTTTGCCTAAATCATATTCGATTTGAGTGAAACGTGAACCAGCAAATCGTTCAAGTTCATCACTATTCAAATTTTTTCCTATAGCTTTTTCGATTTCAGATAAAGTGAAATAAATTGGTTGTTTTAATATTCGATCAAAAATGAATAGATCTTCATCAGTATCATCTTTATCAAAGTCTGTTAAATATATTTGTGGCACTTCATTGGTATCTAATTGATTAGGAGACAATTTTTTGTTCCAGTCGGATTTTACTAAATTGTTTTGTTGATCTGTTAGATACTAAAAAAAGATTGATAGCTAGAAAAATTAGATGAATTAGTTTTAAAAATTATCTCCGACTTGAATTTCATCTAATGTTAAACGGCGTTGTAAAACATCTTCTAATTCTTGAATTGTTGTATCAATAGAAGGTATATATGTAAGTTGAGATGCAGTCAAATCGATTATATTCACGGGTTTGTATGTCAAGCGTTCAGTAGATGTCTAAAACAAATAAAATTACTGATTTATTATAAGTTAAGTAAACAACATACTCAATTTTTTTAGCTTATTAGATGATTTTTATGATGAATTATACCTATGATAATATCATCTTTTTTTTTCATAGTGTAGATAGCGATATGAAGTGTTGGTGTAAACATCACCATTCAGTCACGAATACAGACAGAATGTGCATTTTTTGCATGGTAGACTTAAATGTAACTTGCCCTCTTGAAAAGGCATACTTCGTTCAGAATTACATTTAAGAAAATAAAGCATTTTCGGCGAAAAATGCTTGACTACGTAATTCGATAAAAGTTTTTAGCTAGAAAATCTCTCGTGTGATCGATTTTCAATAGAAATATTTTGGAGTCTGGAAAAAAGAAGTTTAACGACAAAACAAGGGGGGAAAAGCAGACTTCTGTACTTCTGAAGTACGAAGAAGTACAGAAGTCCGGAGAAGTACCGATAAGTACGAAGAAATACCGAGAAGTATCTAGAAGTAAAAAGAAGTACCAGGAAGTACTGAGAACTACGGAGAAGTATCGAGAAATACGAAGAAGTACTAAGAAGTACACTTTTTCTCCTTGATTTTTCCCACAAATAGAACAAAAGTGCTCTATTATTGAGAAATGTCAAAAGTCCAGTTACCAAAACAGAACAAAAATGTTCTGTTTTTGAGAATCAAATTTTTGACATTTCCCAATAACAGAACACTTTTGTTCTGTTTTGGGAGCAGAAGTACGGAGAACTATGAAAAAGTACGGTGAAGTACGGAGAAGTACCAAGAAGTATGAACAAGTACGAAGAAGTACTAGTACAGAAGTCTGCTTTTTCCCCCTTGCGACAAAACCAAGGCTGTTTTTGAAAACTTGCTATAGGGTTGATTAGCACTAAGGAGCGGGCGTTCGTTGAACAGAGCTTAGTGAAAACGTTTCTAAATGTCAAATTACTTTTCAGTCGAGATTACGTAGATCATGTTGACTCTCGTGAACTATGAATACCCTAAAAAAAGTTCGGATGAATTGCTTATTGCTGTCGAGATATCGTATTTTTTTTATTAGAATGTTGGAATCCCTCTCAGAAACAGCAAGAAAGCTGACTTTTGAATTTCGACTTGAAACTTTGCATAGAAACAGACTTAAAAAGATCTGAACTTTTATAATCAATTATTTTCATTGAGACATGCCTCAATGGAAAGTTTCAAGTTGAAATTCTAAACTTAGTTTTTCGACTGTTCGTGATGAGGGTCATGGTATTTTTCAAAAAAAAAATAGAGTATCTCGGTAGCAATAAGTTATTAGCACGAACTTTTTTCATAATATTCATGCCTCATTTGGATCTACATAGTTCTGTGTCAAAAATGATTTTACACTTAGGAATGCTCCATCATTGGTCATTCCTAAAATTAGTTTAGAAGATCCTTTTTCTTTTCATAAAAACCAAATATTTAAATTAAAAGGTTTCTTCGATGATCGCTATCAGACCATATCCAGATTCAAAATATCTAACAGGCACAGATGGTTTAAAGTTGATTTTCCTATCGCTACTAATTTTTCAATTTCAATTGTTCCACTCTACATAAAAATTGTAACAAAAAATTTTTACGCCATTAGATAGAACATGTCTTAAAGCACATTTTAATCAATAAAATGATGACCAATTATCGTTTTTTCATCTAATATCTGCCTGGATGCATACTGTGATAAGGTTCGCTGCAAACTCGAGACGGTAAATCTATCAAAATATGCACTAACTGCATATCTTTAAATGCAGATGGTTCGAACTTGAAATCGAAAAAATATGTATCAGCATCCTCCGCGTAGGTCTTAAGATAAGTTTACCAATTGTCGACCAAGTGTTTTTTCAATACCACTGAATTTCCGAAGGAGAATATCACGTATTTCTTTATCAGTTAAATTACGGTTTAATTCATTTTTAAGATCAATAAATCGATCATTATATATTGATTTAATTGTTTCTTTTAGTAACGATTTGTTAAATATTTTTTCAAGACCAATAATATCACCATTTGCAACCATAATTATTTCTTGTTTTGTTAATGATCGTCCAATAGTATTTTCAAGATGTTTTATATTTTCTAATAAATTTTTATCTTGTGTATTTTCAACTACTTTAAGAAGTGATGCTGTAATAGGAAGAATTTCTTGAATTTTTCTATTGATATTATTATATTTTTGATTTTTAATTTGTTCAATGATGGAATAATCATCATGTATTAAATGTTTCTTTTCATCAATAGTTAATGAACGATTAATTTGTTCTTCAATAAGTTTAATTGATGGAGAAATTGAATGAATAATATCATATTGATCAACGAGTTGTGCTCGATACTGTAAAATCTACATACAATAATAAAAATGAAAATTTCAAACGATAATAATAAGAAATTTATATACTTGTTCTAATTGTATATGAGTAAGTTTAATATTTTGTTGTTCTAAATTGTCTATGAATTTTCTAGATAAAATAGAAGTTTTATCAGTAAAGTATTCTTGATATGGTTGTAAAGTTAATTCTTCTTGTTCGATACGTTCTTCTATTGTTAATGGTCGTTGAAGAAGTTTTTGTTCAATATAATCAAATGATAAATGATTTTGAAGTAAATAACGATATTCAGATTCTGTTAATTGACGATTTATAGATTGTTCAAGTGATGAAAAACGATTCATTGATATTATACGTAAATCATTTTCTGTAAGATGAATATTAGTAAATTGTTCAAATTTTCGAATATCT